TTTTGCCCCGTATCTTCGAAGCGGCTAGAACTGCCTTTGTCAAAAACTAATCAGCACGTCTCCCCGTCAATACAAATTAAATGTTTTATGAATTATCCAAATCGGTTGATTCGTGTTCACGAAATCTTGGACGAAAAATTGGATTCAAACATACATACATACAGACACACATATACATCAATTTTTTCTAACCAAACTCAAAAATCTCTGAAACGTAAAGATATGCAAAAATTTTCATTTTCTACTGGAAGTTAATTATAATTTTAAACTCATCGTAAAAAGTTAAGTCTCAAAGTGAAAAGTTCAGTTTCTTGAAAGGTTCATTTTGAATTTTGGCAATTATGCTAAAAAAACCGAATTAATTACATCGAAATAAATACCACATAACAAACAACCAACTATAAAACAATGTTATAGAATATATAGATATAGATATAGAATAGAAAATTATCACAAAAAAAACATTCTTTTTCTTTTGATTTTCAAGCATTGCCGTTTTTGTTCTGATAGCGATGTCATAATAATTAAGATGATGGCTGCTTATACATATTTTGCCCCTTACTTTCAAATATTGTTGTTAATCCCGGATCTTTAAGCCCCGCTTCGCCCTATGAGTTTAACATTTAAGTTGTTAGCAATTAAAGCTATACATGTAGTATCGAACCAAAAATTTTAAATAATTACAAATTTGTAAAACATCTCGATTTATTTAATATAATTTATATAACTTCTATAAAGATATAAAAGAAATTTTGTGAAAATATCAAAATATCACTATATTTAATATTTAAAATAAATACTTTATAAGCACAGTGAAGCAATCAATAAAAGGCTTTGGAATATCAATAAATTTTATGCTACCAATATATAGAGTAAATAAATGTATGTGTATATATATTTTATCACATACATCCAATTAAAAAAAGTAATGCTTTCGAAACTCATTTACAAAGTATATAGATATACATATCACTGCTTTTTTGTCAACAACTGTCACTTGAATAACCTTTTTGCATCTCAAACACGTACTTTTATCAAAGTAAAACACAATCCTTCGCACATTCTCTTCCTCCGTTGCAAAACTGGTATTCCGTTAACAAATTCATTATCGCGAAATTTTTAATACGACGATCAGCTCACCATTAAACCTTAATTATTTAACACCTCCAAGTGATTTCGTATTTTTATACATAAAAATAAATGGCTTTGAAGATAATTTCACAAAACCTGAAACAATTATTGTAGACGGCGAGCGATGGGCAACCATCAATGTTTCCCACACTGACTTCGCTTCGAATCGCGTGTAAGAATTTATTGGAAGTTATTGGAAAAAACTAATTGGCTTGATTTGAAAAAGATTTTTTTAGTGAAAAGATATTTCTAAAAACCGATTACGATTGTTGTAATACGGAAGATGCGTTTTGTGCTTAGGTTTGTTCACGAGATCGGGTACGATTATAATTAGGAATAAAGGTAACGCTATTTTTTGTAATTGAATTGAACTAAATGTTTCAAAACTCAAAAGCTACAAGCATGTGGTAAATTTCATTTTTGTTCGGATTTTTTTTATATTATACACTTTATTTTATAAATGAATATTAGTCTCGATTAAGTGAAATTATTTTCTCCTGAGCATACTAAATTATGACTTGGTTATACCTTCATCAAAATATTTCAACAAAATATTATAATCATTTTTTAGAACTTAATTTCAAAAATGTCAATTAATTGGTGTTAATTTAATGTAATTTTTTTATCAGAAAATTAAATTTATGTGCATTTAATTTACTCGATCATGTATTCAAAGTGTGGTATCTACTCTTTACAAATGAAATAAAATTTGATTGCGAAAAACGAATTATTATGGATATTTCTCTCTTTTTTGTTTTTTTGAAATAATGTTTTTATCCTTTTCAACCACTGTTTAACCACAGATTAATATTTTGTAATATAGCTTGATCAATTTCCGAACAATTCAATGCTCAATAATTAATAAATTAAAAATTCAAATCCTCATAGCCATCAAGGTAAATTTCAAAATTCATAGATATGTAACTGATTAGAATGAAAATAACGTAAATTATAATTTCTTTTAGCAATCAATATTAAGTTATTAAATAACTTTATTCTTCAATACATTTTTCATATTCATCACTGACTTTATTTTGTCCCTTAAGCAGAATTATTATGGCCAAAATATATGTGGTGTTAATAATGGAATAAGTCACCTACTTAGTTGACAATCTAACAGAAAAAAATGATAACCAAATCATAGAATTTATAGTAGACACCATCAAAATCATTATGTTATTTACCATTCAAGAAGTTTTGTAAAAGTCGAACCTAAACATAATCAGATGGTGGTAACTTCAGGACTATATGCTGTATTTGGCAAAACATCTCAGCCAGCTCCAATAATTTTTGCCAAAGTGGCCAAATAGGAATAAGTCACCTATTCTATTTACCAATTCAGTCGCTTTTATCAACTCATAAACTTTGAAGACATCTAAGAGTGAAAGCCACACTTACTTAGCTGCTAATCAAATAATAAAAAATTAATATTCAAATCATCGAATTTATAGTAGGCACCATCAAAATCAATATATTATTTACCATTCAAAGAGTTTTCGAATATTTTTTGCAGAGTGGCCAGAAATATATGGTGTTAATAATGGAATATATCACTTATTTTGTATGCCAATTTAGGCCGCTTATTTTAACTGCATTTAGGGTACGTTAGCCAAAGCCAAAAAAAATCCATTAAAACTTTCAAGGAGTAAAAACCGCACTTACTTAGTTGCTATCCTAATAGTAAAACAGTAAAAAATGGATATCCTAGTGATAGAATTCATAGTAGATTTTAGGAAATTTCTAATTATTTTAATCGTTATATTTATTCTTCACTGGGTTTGAAATATCTATTTAAAAATACATAATAAAAAATAGAAAACTTATGCAATATATATACAATTCATACTGAACTTCTTCAAATTTTGAAGAAACCGCTCTACATTTATCTATCTTCTAGTACCTTTTTGAATCACTATATTTTTCATCAACTTACAAATATAAAAAAGGTTTCCAACACCTGTCTCGAGGAACTGTTAAGACATTAACAGTATAGCTTCTTACAATCCCGGAATACTGGAGCTGTCGGGTATCTCCAAGCCAAGAATATAAATTACAACGCGTTTTCTGAAAGTGTGACCACTAGTGTTGATAACAACCGACGAAGGAATAATTTAGAATAAAAGAGATAACGAAGCGAATTAATGGGATTCGTGAACTAATTGAAAGTTAAACAGAATTTAAAAAATCGTAATCGGCATTAAAATAAATCATTTAGAACCCAAATGGTAAGACTGAACCCGTATAATTACTCTGTATTCAGTTAACTATCTATGTTTCTGGTAAAAAAATCACAAATAAATATATAAAAGTTAATACAACAATTAATGTTCGATATCTTATATTTTCTTTTCTCTATATTTATACTTATTTAATAACATTTACAATATATGCTTAATCTAAACTTTCCGATTAATTCATTTATTTTATTTTGAAAATTTAGTCTTTTTATAATAGTACGATAATTACAACCATAAGCCGTTGAATTAAAATCACAATATTTGCAAAATGATAGTACAATAGTTTTTAGCTAGCTATTTGAAATTGTTTTATATATTTTTATATTTATATATATTTTTTATAGATATTCTACATTGCCAGGGATAAAAGCATAGTTATATATTCTTGTTTGATATTTTTTGTAGTTGAATATATATGGAACATTTTAATATCTACTAAATTTGAAATTAATTTTTATATACATTTTCAATTAAGGTTTAATATATAGTATGTACTTTGTGACCCATAGAAGCACTCTTAATTATATAACTACATAATTTACATGAGTAAATTAAAATAAACTAAGATAATAATTTTATCTTTGGTTTTAAAATGTCTATTTAATCAGACCAATACACCATAACGTTTACAAATTCTTGTTTTATAAAAATCTGGTCACACAAAGTCGTACCGTTAATTTTTGGTAATTTATGTAAACAAGTTTTGTGTGTCAGGCGACATCATAATGCTTATTTTATACTAGCTTGTGTGTTATTATTTTCTTCACAAAGTTCGGATTTAATTTTTTTAATCACATCAGAAAATTCATCACTACTTATCACTAATGCTTTTTACACATTTTCACATTTACCAATGTTTAAATCATATTTTGTATAAAATGTTTTGTTGTCAGGTGATTTCAGTCCAGGATCCTTTTATAAATTTCACACATAGAGCACTTTCTTCCGATAACATTTAAAATTGTATTCAATATTCAATTCAATAATTAAACAAACCTTTCATTTTTTATCATATAATTGATGCTTCTGTATTTGATTGATTTTTATATCCTTGTTATTGCAAATTATTTTGCAAATGGAATTAATATGCAATATTTGTTCAATTAGAAGCATAAATAATAAATGATTGCTAGCGCATTCTTCTGGCGCATGCAAAAGCTGTATAAATCATCTTTGGATGCCATCTCTAAATGATCTATTATCATTTTGCTATAATTTATCGTTTAGCGCCTCATCTAATAGCTAAAGATATTTTGATAAATTTCTTGGATCAGATTTGCTAAACAGTTTACCAAAGTCACTATTATCATATAAATTTCTTGGATCAGATTTGCTAAACAGTTTATCAAAGTCACTATTTTCATATTTATAATAATTTCCACTTGAGCTCCTTAATAATGTATAGATTTCTGTTACCTTGATGATATAATTATCTTGATTTACTTCTGACGAACATATACAAATAGTCAGAGTCGAAGAACTATTCAAACTTTGTTAATTTAAATATATAGCCCTTTTTCAATCATTATTCTAAAAGGACAGTAGTTTATAAATTTGTGTGCATTACACAAAATAAAAATAATTTTGGTATTTGCTAATTTCGTAAAGTAACCAGTTTATCATCACCCGAGATTATTGCCTATCATGTTTGGTGAGCTGCAACGGTTGCATCATCGCATTTGCATTAGTGCAATTCCCGTTTCCATCATGATCTTTCCTCATGCCCAAAATCTTCGACTCCATCGCCAAAGTTTTTGTCCTGTCATCCATTTCACAATCAGACTCATCATTGACATTAATTTCTTCATCCGAATCACAATCGGAAATGTCTGCACAATCACTCAAACATCTACCCTGACCCACACCACCACTGAGTGACCTGAACGCACTATTTTCTCCACCCATCACTGGTGGCACCATCCCCGAAAGTGGTGTCGCGTGCATCATCTGTGCAGAATCTGGCCGGTGACCAGATGACGGCCCCCTTGACGCAAACCCTTGAGGTGAGGACATGTGGCTTCGTGATTGAGGTGAGGCTGACATCACATTTCGGGATTGAGGCGAAGAGCGTTTTAGGAGGTTCATGCGCTGGTGTCGTCGCCACTTCGCTCGTCTGTTGGAAAACCAAACCTGGAGGTCAATTTGTGATTAGTTGGGTTGTTGGAGATATAAACTAAAGATAATCTATATACTAATAATAAAATTTCAATGGATAAAACTCAATAATTGATAAGAAATAAATAAATAATTCAACATGTGCTAATATTTTATCATGTGCTTATATCTTCTTATGTATAAAAATGGAGCTCTTGATCAAATGATTCGGTAAAACTCGAAAACGGCTAAACCGATTTGGTCAGTCTTATTCTTGAAAAATTCGTGCCAATCCAGAGATAGTCGGAAAGGTGAAATATTATTTCAAAATCGTGTAGAAACTTTACTTTTTTAATTTGAAATTTTTTGTAGAAGCGTAATTTAAATAAAACACTGGACGGTGGCTAATACGTTTTTGTTAAAATGTCAAACGTTTTTGACAGATGATGTTCAATTACGTTTAATAGGACGTTTTACGTGAATATTATTTAATTATGATTAAATAGTAAGTAGTTTAGTTTGTAGTTTTATTTATATACAAAAACGTTAGTAAACGTGCCGCAAGTTTTACTAGAGACTCAAAATATCAACTTTTGGAAATGTTAATATGAAAATGCACTTGTCGGCATATTTTTCTCAAACACGGTGCTCTGAAAGATCTCATTTGTATAATTATATACTCATTGGTATTTATAAAACATTTTCTAGGTTATATTATTTTTTATTTATGTTTTTTAAATTCAGAACCTAAATTTGGTATCGATCAACTGGACATTTTGTCAAATAACATTCTTTCAGTTATAATTTCCCAGAATTTATTAAAGAATAGATAGTAATATATGAAGGTCCGGAGTTAAAACGGTCCGCCTCCGATGTGTCAAAAATCAGTAGAGTTAAGTATTGTTTAATAACAATGTTTGAAAGTAGAGAAAAAGGTAATCTTTGAAATGGGGGAGATAAACGGTTTTCTTTAAAAATCGATAATAAAATTATTTTCTTCCGTTGGTAGTTTTTTAGCATTAGTTAAAAATGTAATTGTTTTGTAAAATACCTTTGAAATTATAATGAGGCTTTAAACCTTTTTGCCACCTGACCGTTTCAAGTTACCCCGCCTATATGGTAAAAAAGTCTAGATAACAAATTTTTGAAAGACATCAAAAAAGCACATTTCTACAATGATGAAGTGGAAGGCACTTTACTGAACGTAGTCAAATAATTGTTCGTTTGATATGTGTTATTTGTTGTGTTATAATTGTTATGGTTTTCACAATATAGTTTATATTTGCTCAAAGTCAAATTTGACCTTTGTGCCTCGCCCTGCTCTACATGTATACTTTTTATTAAATTTACTCTAATTCATTGAATGTTACTTGAAACTTTTCAAAAATTTGAAAATTTTGTATAAGTTCAGTAGAATTATTTACAATTAGACACAAAATCCAGAATCCAAAAAAAATCTGAAAAACTTGAAACGTAATCAATAAGTAGAAAGACCAAAAAAGACTTGGATGGATTATATTATGTTTTCTATAGAAAGTGTATAAATCTTCCAGTTTAATTGTATTGATAAAATATATGCAAACTAATGGAATTTATTGGTTTTTTATAATACCTCATTGTATATAGCATTCAAACAACACATCCTTATACACTTAAAGTATTAATATTTGTGATTCTCCAGAAATTGTTTAAAATATACCTTACTTACTTGGCAAAACAACTTTTGTCGCGTCAACTAGTTACAAATAAATTTGCAATACTGTTATAATATAGTATAAGGTATTATGATAAGCAATATATTTGTGTTTTTAAATAATCCAAACAAATTGACTTGTATCACTTCTCACTTACACTAATCGCGGATTATTATTAAATTACACTGCATCCATTTCATTTACATAATTTATATGAATTATAATTATCTTTTATCGTTTGGAACATGTTCCAATTACCATAATGCATATATTAAAATCGATAGTTACCTGGACTCGAGCTTCACTCAAAGACGTGCGACTTGCCAATCGTTCTCTCGTGCTCACGCAAGGATAATGAGATTTGTCGAATTCGCGTTCTAATTCCTCCAGTTGTTCCGGGCTGAAAGTTGTCCGGTTGCGCCGGAATTTCGGCTGTTCTCCGTCTAAACTACCGCCGTCATCTCCATCTACATCTAGATTAAAGGAATAATTGATGCCCATTAATATAAGGTATATAAAATATTAGCAAATATTTTAATTACATTTATATATTACAAAAACTTAATAAGATCTTCTCATTTTGCGCATAGATAAAATGTAGGGTAGATGAGACTAGGTACGGTTGTGCCAGGTTACGATAATTATATTTATCATAAAAGCAAAATTATTTTTATTTTGAGATAAGGTCCAAAGAAAGAAATAATTATGTCCAACAAGTTTCCATTATTGCAATATGTCAGCGTCCTGCATTAATATGATTGCTTTTAAAGAGCTAAAAGTAAACTTTATGCTTCGATTTCTTTTAATAATACCTGTTACATGTATATAGGTACACACTTTGTTTATTATTTTGCAGTAAGTTGAGTTTGCGATAAGTAGTTAATTCACAGCAATTAGTATTGTGGTATGTAACATTTATATGCTGAGACTTCTTTCTTGTTCTTTTTGTGTGAAATTCAAATTGATAAAGAAAAATCTAAATCAACTAAGTCCAAATACGAAAGAGAACGGAAAAGAAAAATTCAATATAAGAAAACAAATAACACAAACATTTCTTATTAAAAAAGTTATGTTCTGTTGTATTATATTTTTAAACTTCGTTTGAATGATTGTTGTGTTGAATATTTCTGACAATAAAAGGCGGTAGAACCAATTTTGGTGTTTATAGCTATTGTTTTTCAGCCTATTTTTGCGCCGTCCACACCAGAGGGACATTTGTGACACTCGTCCTTTCCTTGTATGATCTGATTTTATGACTAATCCATTGTATATAAAGGCAGTATTTCACATTTTTTTCGTAAACTAAAGCTAAATCAATTTAACATTTAATTTACTATTCTCTGAAATTAACAAAATTGTTGCATTCTTTTATTGCAAAAAATGTAACACAATCTTACTATAATCCCCTACTATAAATTAAATTAAATTGAAATTGAGCATAATATAATAGCAAAGGGCAGGTCAACATAAACGGAAACTAACACTATTAAGGGGGTATTCTAGTGTAGAAATTCAAAAAAATTGATTTTTTTCATTTCATATTTTTCTTTAGGAGTATGGGTAATAGAAGGTTTTTGAAAATTTGAATTATTTTTGAAGATATAGGCATTTTACTGCTCGGTCTCCATACTGGTTTGGCTTTACGCAAAACTTTAAATGTGTTTTTCTCAGAACAGACTTTTTCAATACTATTGACACGATTTCTCGAGTTCTACTTGACCGATTCACTCAAAATGTTCAGAGAGTCTTGTTTATAGATCTATCTATAACCCGAACTAGGATTATCCCCAAATTCCAATTTTTACTATTTTTAAAAAATTCGAGAAACTCAAAAAAACAGTAAAAAAACACTTTTTTTCAAACAGTCGCCAATTTGTAAAAAACCATTTTTTTAATTATCGCGAGTTCGGGCGATTGCGACATCATTGTAGATTCATAATCTTTTTATTTCTTTTATTTCGGATGACTAGGAGGGCTGAAATTATGTCAAGACTGAGGTGCCAATTTTTTGAGACCACCCACTTCGTCAGCTGCCAGTTTTTACAATTTTCAACTTTTTTATTTCTTAATTTTAGTTTTCTATTTTATTAATATTAATAAACAGGTGGTAAAAATGGATAGTAAAAACATTCATTGCTTTCTTTTACGACACTTTAAAAATGACTTAAAATTCATCGCTCTACACTAGAATACCCCCTTAATATAATTATATAATTCATTGACTTCATCAAATTCTCTATCTTACCTATCATTCTATTCCCCAAATCCGGCGAAGAACCGCCTCTGCTCGACCTATGCAAAAGACTCGCAGAGAGACCGACGTCCCCGGTAGCCGACGAAGGGAGTCCATGAGCGTGTCCTGGGGCACCCGAAAGACCGTGGCCCGCGGCCGACGGCCATAGCGCGGGTGCGTGTCCTGGCCATGGGTAGCCCGCTGCCCCAGCGGCTGCTGCTGCTGCGTACGGATGCGGAGGGTAAAGGCCGTAGCCTGCGGCTCGTGCAAATTCGGCCGCAGCTCTTTCGGCAGCTCGGTTTCTTAAGATTCGGTTGATGGAGGATACTGATGGCGCTGTTGCGTTTGTGCAGACTCCTAGAATTAATATAATAGTTTATTAAACGTTTTAATATATATTAATTTTCAAGTACAAACGTATTAAGGACGCCATACATTCTTTCAAATTAGTTAATAAATTAGTTTGACATTTTTGAATAATTTTAGAACCTAAAGCTTGAATTATACAATTATAATAATAATTATTATTATCAATCATATAACGTAAAAAGGTAATTATTTTGAATTATTTAATAATAATAGTTTTCAAGATACAGAATTAGCATAAAGCAATACATCATAACGAACAATAATTTCGGATACTTGTTATGTAAACGGACTTCATAAAATAATCAAGTTTTTTCTTTAACTTTAATTATAATATAAAAGCATTTCTTAGGATTTGAATATAATTTCTAGCTTAGGAATTTGCTGCTGAATTCTTTCGGTTCTATCATTTTTTGATAAAATATGTGAAGTGGACTAATTTTTCAGTTTAAAAATTATATATACGATATATAATACTTCATTAAATATATCAAATACGGTATTACGTCACAATATAAAATTTTGATTGGTATTATATATATTGTAACGACAATTGGTATTGTCGTCAAAAGGGTTGCAAAACCTCCAGTGAAGGGCATGACAGTACGTAGGTATTGTCATGCCGTTACACCTGTAATAATTAGTAATGATTAAATAAGCTAAAAGTACATTCTGTTTCATTCGCGTAGTTAGTTGGCTTTTCCACAGGTAATTACAGGGTGTTTAAAGAAGTCGGGTTAAGGAGTTGGTGTAACCCTTTCGTTGGGGATGCAACGCTAAGACGTAATAATGGAAGTCGTTGCATATACCCTAAGAAAGGGGGGCGTCACCCCTTTTCTCGTCACAAGGTTTAGTTGCAGTTGATCTTTTGAGAAAAAATTATGTTAAACGCCATGAGTGCTAAGTTACGCGTCGCGCTACGAGGCTGCGCCCTTTTGCATGCACCTAAAAGGTACCCAAATGTAGCAATCAGCTGCTTCTAAATATATGAGAAAGTTGAAGGCATTTGTACAGAATTCGATGCACCTATATAAAGTTGCTAAAAAAGTCGATGATTTATCAGAACGTGATTCAAATAAAAAAGAAGAAAAATGAACAGTGAATGGGTATTTGCGGAATCCTGCTTTAACACTGCAGCAAGGACGAGCAAAATTAATAGCAAAATGTTTAGAAATATCTACAAAAATATCTACAAAACTATCTGAACCTTTCTTCGTATTCATGATCTGAAATGGCGCAACACAACGGGGAAGCCTCTGACGACTGAAAAACATGTGCTTCTTTTCCGCATGAGCACATGAAAATATTGTTAGAGATTTTGAAAATGTCATTTTCACTGATGAAAGTTCTATATGAGCACGTACTGCCCTCATCGAGCCGTTAAATTAAAATACGAGCCGTCGGACTAAAATAATCCGTTAAATTAGTAAAAAGCAGGCGTCGGAGATGCCAGGCAATTGTCGACTCCGGTGGTGACTGGACACATATTGACTAAAATTGCATCCTTGCTTTTAACGTAGACAATGCATATATAAATATTAAAGTTTCATAAAATGATTATTTTTATAAATTAACCCGACCACGCTCTTACTTGACCGACTGTATATAATCATAGTATTTATTTATTACAGCCACATGCCCAGATATAAAATAATCAAGTTTTTTCTTAAACCATTAATACATAATATAAACGCATTTCTTAGGATTTAAATATATTTTCTAGCTTAGGAATTTGCTACTGAATTCTTACGGTTCAATCATTTTTTGATAAAAAATATGATGTGGACTAATTTTTTAGTTTGAAAATATATAGACAATATATAATACTTTACAAAATATTCCAAATAAGGTATTACATCAACATATAAAAACTTGTGTTCATATTATATATAATCGTTTATATTATATATATATATATATATATATATATATATATATATATATATGGTATTTTTTTATTTTAGCCTGGATATAGTTTATTCTAGCTCAGTGATTTTCTGTCGAAATATTATATTATTTATAGTATTTTTAACTTCTCGTAGGGTAAGTTATTGTAATGGGCCGAAAATCGAAATTGAAAATTTTTACATTTCTCGACGTTTTGAAGGTTTCTGAACATTTTGGCATACCTCAGAAAAAATTGATGTATGTGTGTGTGTATGTATGTATGGATACAAATTTCTAGTCGCGTTTTCGGGCGCACGGATCAACCGATTTGAATGGTTCATAAAATATTCGATTCCTATTGATAGGGAGATGAGCTGATTAGTTTATGGCAAAGACAGGCCCAGCAGTTACGGAGATAAAGAGCAAAGAGTGCAGAAAATGGAAATCGAGTTTTTGAGAAAACGGAGCATTCGATTTGAATGATCTAAAAAACATTCAATTAGTAATGATTGGGAGAAGTGTGTATAAGTTTTTGGCAAAGGCAGGCCCAGCCATTTCGAAGATACGGAGCTAAATATGTAACAAATGTCAGTTTTTGAGAGAACTAAGCGTCGGATTTAAATGATTCAAAGAACTTTCTGCTTGTCTTGACAAAATAATAGATTTTGGAAAAAAAATTCTTATATTTTTTTTTGTTTTTCTTGTATATCGAAAATAATTAAGATTTTATTTTTATCCTGACTAAAGTTCTAATATAACTTAAACAAATAATTTTAAATTTGCAATTCAGTTTATATACTTCTTATAAATATTAGACAATGTTACAATATTTATAATAATCTATTTGAAAACATTCAGTATTCCTCGAACATTTTGTTACGGTACGGGAAGTTCCAGCAATTTGCCTTAAGGCACGGTGCTACCCCCCCCCACTAGTTAAATAATTCAAATTAGCTGTAGGCAAAATGTCCCAGTATAGACGTATCTTATAACTCAAGGTATAAGTTTTTGAAGTAATATCTAATAACATAAAAATTGTTTATTTGATCATCTTATAAATCAGTCATAAAAACTAGACTATTGTGTTCAAAGTTTTTTACGTGACCCGATTTTTTTTCATGGTTTTATTCAATACCTGAGCTTAAATGATTTTATAAAAATACAAAAACACGCATGGGTGTGATTTTAGCTTAGTGATTTGCTTTTGAAATCCTTTACGTCTATTATTCTTTTTTTTTCAACAAAAAGGGTTAGGATCTAAAATCCTTATTTTATGAACTGTGGAATTAGTAGACTACCGAATAAAATCCTACACACTTAATCTTCTAAGAAAGTAATGCTGTAAAAATATTTACTCATACTTTTTATGTATTTGTCAGACATTGTACTGATGTAAAAAATAAAAAAAAGTATAATTGAATGAATTTGATCAACCGTTTTATAACGCGTGAGATTTGATATCGATTATTTACTCATTCAAGAATTGTAATATAATCTTCGCGTTGTAAACGGAAGCATGTTAAGGCGATGCTTTATAAATACATAGAAAACTAGATATGATGTTAATTTATTTATTCATAAGTAGTTGGAAGAATGTCTTGAGTGGACATTCAGAAATAATGTGACATGCGATATATAAAATGTATCATAATTTTTTTTTTGAAATACAGGAGCATAATAACAAATTCTGTCATAAATGAACGCGTCTTTTACAAAAAATACAGAAAAATAAAAATATTGATATTCATTCAAAATTTCGTATTTAAATGCTTAAATTAATAAAATGATATAAATATATTATGATTAAATTAGGATTTAACGTCATATTAAAAATATGAATATGAAACATCACAAACAAATGGAAAATTTGTCCCAAAACCCTCAATTTAAAAAAGTCAATTTACCATCTCAAAATAGTAGTAATTTAACAATTAAATGACAATTCCTCGGAACTATCACATACTACAGTTTTTTATACAAGCGACTGATACAATGTGTTTTTCAATGGCGAATAATTTTTTTTTTCATTATAATCTGTTAATTATTTTTTTAAAGTGCATTCGTCTATATAAGCATAACTAAGTGTTCATATAAATTCTCAAATTAGGTTCAACCCCAAATATAAAATCATTGTTTTGAACACTGTAGATTAATTTTCGTTTTCTAATTTCACAAATCTTAATCACATGTGATTATAATTACAATAATCTTGTTCATGGTATTAAATTTGTTCCTAGCTACATATTTCTTAAGATTAGTAAAAAAATATAACCGTATGATGTCAATAACAAATCACAAGGTCCAAATCATATCCTTGCGTGTTTTTGTATGACTATAAAATAATTTTAGTTGTGATATCAAATAAAAATTTAAAAAAAAAAACTATCGACGATCGGGTCAGGACAAAAAAGTGTGGAACACAAAAGCCGAAGTCTTGTGTAGGCATGCATGCCCGATCATCTTTCCTCAAATCCGATGTGCCGGAGATATCCGTCATGTGTGAACATTTATGCGTTGTGATAGCTACTCATTCCAGTAAAGACGAGGATAATTTATACATTGTAGCAGGATGGAATTTTTAAAGAAAAATTAAATAATTGAGAGAACCAAGGAAAACTTAGAATGATCTTCTAAATCTTAAAAAACACTTGAAGAAAAATACTATTATTAGTTAATATTTAACACTTGAGGACTTGAGCAGGACTTGCGCAGGACTTCTGAAATAACGTCTTGAAAAAAAAAATCTGAAAATTTTTGAAACCAATTGTTTGGTCATCTTGACTATTAGTAAGGTGACCATATGTCCCGGATTGGCCGGGACGGTCCTGATTTTCCGCCTTGCGTCCCGGCTTTTTCTAAAAGCAATATTTAATAATATAATAAGTCCCGGTTTTAGGTGTTTTGTCCCGGATTTTTAAAAATGTTTTGATTGCCAATATATTTTTAAATATATTTGAATTGAAAAAATTGAAGCCAAAAAATGTAAATATAAGTTTTTAGATCACCAACAAGCCCTACCCGCTTGCCCACACATTCTAATCATTCCATAAAAAATATGGTCAGCTTACTATTAGAAATTTTTATATTATACATTGTTCTACTTT